AGAGAGAGAGAGAGAGAGAGAGAGAGAGAGAGAGAGAGAATCTCCTAATTGAGGTGTTCATGCCCACCACATAGTCCCTTCTCATCCAGCATCATCAACCACTCACTCATTTTAGTCTCCATCTTCCTCCTCCCCTCCTCCTCCTCCTCCTCCTCCTCCTCCTCCTCCTCCTCCTCCTCCTCCTCCTCCTCCTCCTTCTTGTATCTCTTTACAGTGTTACAAGCAGTATCAAGAACCTCTTGCCAGTCTCCACTTTCTGATAATGGCCCAGACCAACGCTGCCCAACAATAATACAAGACATATATGAACCATATAAACAAGTCCAGTAACTACATTTTAAAAGGCAAAGAGAAACTGGTGAACGTTTTAATAACATATTTTATTTGATTCAATATATAATATATATTATATATATATATATCATATTACATCAATATCCTATCAATATAAAATTACTTAAATTTATTTTAAAGTCTTTTCAACATCAATTTTTGAGATCCGGTGCAAATTTGACACTCACAAGGCATCTGCTTCTGGACCGGCCACATTTTAAATGTTTAAAAGGCACAGAGCCAGTGTCTTCCATGGACCAAAAAATGGTGAGGTTTTTTTTTTTAAAAAAAATCACATTTGCTTACTTCTATCCTTATTGTTCTCCAACAAACACAAGCTTCATGCATGTATGTATGTATGTATGTATGTATGTATGTATGTATGTATGTCATTGCAACGATGGAGAAGGAACCCAGGGCTTGGAACACACTAGGCAAGAGCTCTGCTACTGAACTACCCTCTCAAGTCTGTGCTTTGTCTTTTCTTTCCAGGTTAGTTGTTGGTTTGCTTGTTTGGAGACTGAATCTCACCATGTAGCCCTGGCTGTCCTGGAGCTCGCTGTGTAGACCAAGCTGGCCTCAGACTTATGGAGATCCACTGTTTCAGCCTCCTGAAAGCTGAGATTAAAACCAGATCTGGACTTGGGCTGCTCGTTTTTAAAACTTACTGTTTTCAGTTTCTTCAACATTCATGTTCTAATGCCAACAACAGGTTTAGGTGGCACATGCCACAGCTGCATCTGCCTTCACCATGGCATCTCTCTCCATCCTGGCTCCTGTTCTCCTGGCTACCCTCTTCTCTGTGGTAACTGGCTGTGAAGGCAGAACCGTGGATTTCCCATCCCCTCACCACCCAACAGGACACTAACCCACTCAGAGTCCCCAACTCTGCTCTCGCCAACCTGGGGTCACCGATTCTCAACTAAAATTCAGGTTATATAAAAACCTAGCTTCTGAACAGCTCTGGAGTTATTTCAAACCAGGCTTGTCATTTATCTTTCCATAAAAGGCGCCTAGCCCACTTTGTTTCTTGGCAAGATAAATTTATCTAAGGGTTGTCCATAAATACAAGACAAGCTACCAGTTTTTCAGAGGATATATTTCCCATCTCAAAGATCTGTTTACAACAGAAGTTGTGGTTCTTATGTACAGATGTGGTTTCATCACTAGAAAATGGGAGCTGAGTCTAAGGCAAACACCTTCATGCAGTCAGTTAAATGGGCCTGTGGGAAGCGGGGCGGGGGTGTAGTCTCTTAAACACCTGAGTTTTTAAATCCATTACAGTTTGCTTCCCTTTGCTCAGATATTCAGGGCAAACCTGCTCTCCCCTTTAGACTTGATAAGGTGGCATGTGGCACTCTAAAGAACAAAGCTACAGGAGTCCTCGTCCTCAGCTGCAGCCATAGGTATGACCTTAGTTGTCCAGCCACCCTGCAGTGTAGCCTCTCTGCTGTCTGTGGCAAGCTTGCTCAGTTCCAGCTCCCCCACACCTAACCCTCAGAGACAGCTTCCTCTCAGTTCATTATCCCCAAGGCACCTGCCTCCCCGAGCACTTCCTCTTTCCTAAAAGACAAGATGGCTGGCAGCCCTGCAGTGAAAAGAAAAGCGGCCTTATGAGAGAGAAAAAAAAATCCTGAAATGAGTCACCTTTCAAGAATTTGCAATCCTAGAGCCTGAGTGCTGAAGTGCTAAGTCAGCCCTACCAATGCCATCCCCTGTATGGACTGGTCGTGTGCACTGTTCCCTGAGGGCGTTTACACTGTCCGCCCATCCTTTGTAGAGCCACTTGTAGGTACACAGTATGTAAGCTGTGCACAGTTGACTTTAAATGGGTCTAAAGAAAATCAGACCAAATCAGAGTTTCTTTTAGGCTTTATACCGGCTTTCGACAAGTTAGGGAAAACAGCTGTAGCTCCCCAAACTTCCCACTTGCTCCCCCAGGCACTGCAGCTTCGCTCAGATTTAACCAGCTCCAAGAAAGCTCCCTGCCTATCTGCTCCCTGTCTATCCACGGAAGAGCCTTTCCTCCTGCTGTTTCTCTCCGCAGCTCAAGTCTTGGGGCAGCTGCAGTTGGCTGTGGTCTGCTAGGGTTCTGCCTGGCCTGATTTTTTCATGCTGCCATTTTGAATTAGCATATGTTTCCTCAGCAAGTGATGAGGATTTAGGCAGGCATGAAGCACAGTAAACACACACACACACACACACACACACACACACACACACGAAGCGCTTAACAAGTTACAATTACATAGAAATACACTTCTAGTTAACAGAACCCTACCAGGTCAGCTTGGGAGACAGAAAATAAGTAGCCTTAAATGCAAATGGGTGTGATTACATTTTTATTCCTAACTTCTAATCGATTTTCTAAAATTCAAGCGTCCCTTTCGACCTGCAGACCTCACTGTGGTTGCTAAATAATTATGCCTGGACAGAAAAAAAACAAAAACAAAAAAACAAACAAAAAAAAAACCAAGAACAAGAACCAAAAATCCAAGGAGATAGAGGTAAACTGAGGTGTACTGATAGCAAGGGTCTAGACACCTGCCATGTCCCCACCCCTATTCCAATGTGCAGGTTTGAGGCCTGGGCCGAAGCAATATCTGGTCCCAGCTCACTGGCTCATGGGGAGGACCACAGATCCATCCCTGGACTCCGCCCAGCGGCCAAGGACAGCGGCCTGGTCAGGCGCCATGGGTGCATTACTCCGAAAGGAGCCAGGCTCTCTCTGCTAGCGGCAAGGCGAGCCCGGTACCGCGGGAGCCGCCAGGGGAGGCTCAGGGACCCGGGGAAGCTCAAAGACACTTCCCAGGGCCCAGGAAAAGCAGCACCGGGTTGTAAGACTGCGAGATGCAGGAAGGATGCAGGGTGGAGAGTAGGAGCAGGTTCTAACCAGGCTGCAGTAGCTTCGTCCCCGAAGTCCCTGATCTTGAGTCGGGCCGGACCGAGGCCACCTAATCTCTGATCTCCCTTTCCCTGGTCCACACTCGGGAGGGGAGGCAACGAGGCATTAGAATTGCAATGGGAAATGTGGTGACTGCTCAGCGGAAGAGCAGCTGCCCGCGCCGGGAGCTCCCGGCATAGCCTGAGGCTCACCTGCCAAGCAGCCGGCTCCAGCCGGGTCCAGCGGTGCTGATGCTGCGACTGCGGAGTTGGGGGCGCTGCGGCGGCTAGGTTACAGCCTCCGCGTCAGTAGCGCAGAACACTGCCGGCGCTCCGGTTCCCCAGACTCCAGGCTCTCCAGCCCCCTGCTAACAGCTGCTTTGGTCACGCGACCGCAGACCCACCCTCCGCTTCCCTGTGCTCTGGGCCCCAGGACTCGGCTGTGTTTGACAGCTGAGGCCTCAGAGCCCGCCCCGCCTGGGAGGGGAGGGCACCAGGAACCCCCAAGAACAGCAGAGGGGGCGGGACTCAACAGAAAGTGGTTCCCTTCTTAGATTTTTATTTCTTGGTTGCAACTCTCTCAAAGGGAAGAACCAGAGCTTTAAGGAACCAGGCCGAGCTTTCTCCAGGCAACATTTTACAGACCCTGGTGTTTGGTTGCTCATCTGAGCCTTGGCGCCTAGGCGAGAATTCCCTGCAGAGATATGCATTCTTCGTTTGGTTGATTCATGTGTCAAAGTAGGTCCCTAATGTTAACCGATTGCGATCATGTTCAAAAACCAGAGTATGCAGCATATTCACACTTTGTGGACCAAGGTCACACAGCAAGTAAGTAACAAAGGCAAGATCCCATACCAGGGTTAATAAACTTTTTATTGGGAGATGGGTGATGCCCACCTCAAGGTTATTGTCAATGAATGCTTCAGGGGCTGAGACCCGATCTACCTTTTATTGATCGATAAGAAAAGGCCATGAGAATCCACCGGGAAGACAGTAGCAGCAGCTGGCAGCAGAAGACTCACAAGCATTTTCCAATTATTAGATGAACACAAATCAAAGTTTGATAGTCTCTATGCGAGGGAAGGAGGTGTTGGCAATATCTCTCAAGATAAGAGCATATATAGACTTTCACCTGATGACACTTTTGGAATTCATCCTACAGAGGGAAGGATACGGGTGTGAACTGAGCGTCTGTGGTGGCCATTTTATTTGTGCCAGTAGTGACTAGAACTAAACCTCACAGTGTGGTGGTACTCACCTGTAATCCCACCATTAGGGAGGCTGAGGTACCAGGGCCAGTTGCTGGTTAGCCCCTTAAGGCTACATAGTAACACCTTGTCTCAAAAACTAAAAGACCGAATAAAATTCAGCCTATAAATACCATGGAATGCAATCCAGCATGTTTTAAAGATGAGATCATTGCCTGTGTACTGATCCAAGACGTCTAACTTATACCAAGTAAAAGGCTAAAGTGGGGAGAAGTTAGGTGCAGAACAGAGTGTGTGTGTGTGTGTGTGTGTGTGTGTGTGTGTGTGTGTATGTAGAAAAAAATATATGCACTTCCCTTTGCAAATGCTTAGATTACTTTTGGAAAGGTCCATAAGAAATAGTAACAGGAGATTCCACAAGGGAGGAGAGCTGGGTGAGTGGCTGCCAGAAAGGAGACATTTTTTTTGACCATGTTTCTGAAATCTGTGTGTACTTGTAGCTTGTCAGGTGAGTGAACAGAAAGTGGGAGAAGGGTGAGGGAATGTGTCAGGAGCCATCAATAGATTCTACAGAAAAGACCGTTGGCTCAGACTTAGAACAAAAAGGTGCTTTGTTTATTTACTGCAAACAATGAAATGTGTAGCCTAATGCTTTTGGCTAATGACTTTAGAAACTCCTGAAGAGCTTAACCTGGGGCCCTGCCCATAACTTCTGAAGTCAGTCCCCAGAGCTGGGGCCGGGGAACTTGCTTTCTATCAGATTTTTGGGTTTTCCTTGTGCAATGAAGTTTGATAGCTGCTGTTTTAAACTCTCTGTTATCTCCCAGGTCTGCATACAGACGCTGATTCCATGGTGCTTGCTGTAGCACTTACTAAGCGTCAGTAAGACCTTTTTGTTCTTAGCTTTGTACAGGACAGACTCTGCTACCGTTCAAGTCACATAAATAGAAATAAGGGAACAGAACAGTCCAACAGATAAAAAAAAAAAAAACTAGAACTATCAGTTAGGGGTTTAATCATTGGCTTCTATCGGCCATGTGGAGTCTAGCTGTGTGTAAATTACAAGGCTTCTGTGAGCGAGCCTGCAAGGGAAAATTCTCTTAAATGACATACAATTGTTACATGGTCAATTATAGTCTACCCAGCATGCTCAGAGCTAGTAAATATCAGTGCACTGTATTCCTGCTTCACTCCACTGGAGTAGGCACAGATTTTTTTTCTTTCTTTTTCCAGAACCAAAAAGTAGAAGTAGGGATACAGTGGTGATTTTGGCCTTCACATAATGTCACAGGGGGTGGACATAACAGCCACACACACACCCCGAGAAATGCTGTAGGTGCACTTCTGTTTTATTGATAATCAGTAAGATGAAAATAAAATTATTTGGGAATCTGAAAAATGTACAATCCTAACAAAACATCTGAACTGTTCCTGCATATGACCTCTCTTCCCCGCTATAAAAATCTGGTAAAATCTGAAGGTAACAGATAAATGAAGACATGTTTTCATAAATTGGAAAACTCAACTTGATGGAAATTCTCTCCAAAACCATCTATATATTTAACTTAATACCGGGGGAGATTTTAAAAGTAGAAACCGACAAACAGATTCTAAAATTTATTGGGATGAACACCCAGAACAGTTTTGAAAGAAACCAAAGTTGGAAGATTTAAGCGCCCTTATTTTAGGACTCACTATAAAGCTACACCAGCTAAGAGAATGGAGTGTTGGTGTAAGATAGATACATGGAGGGATACAGCCCAAATAGACTTGCACGGTACACACACTTGATTTTTATTATTATTTTTTTTAACAACAGTGAAGTAACTCAGTGGGAATGATGAAAACAGTGCTGGGCTTCTTCATATTCATAGACTGAAAAAGAAAGTGACATTTTCTTCTCCATTTGCAGAAATAAAAATGAGAATGAATCTGGGTCCTGAGTATAAATCTAACGCTATGAATCTCTGCATCCAATGATAGGAGGATATTTTTACCATCTTTATGCAGTGTGGTTTAGAGAGAGGAATAATGCAACTGTAAAACTGAGTGAAGTCCTGCACCCCCGGGATAAAACTCAAAACAAAATAAGTGTAGCATCTAAGTTACAAGACGAGGAGAAGACAAACGTACCAGTCAACCAAGACTGACTAAAACTGAGAGATGATGGGATTAGCATATAAAGTACCTTAAAACCACCACCAGAATATTATGAATATATTTAGGAGTTTAAAAGAAAACACAACATTAGAGGAATGGGTGATACGAAAGGTACCAAACAGAATATTCTACCCTTGTTGATTGAATCCACAGATGTGAGGCCGGATGACAAAGACTGTCTGTCTGCATATATATTTATTGTATGTGTTATTTAGGGAACACAAGGGTTATAAACAGACAAGTATATTGACCCAGTATATTAGGAAATATTAACAAGTTTAAGGAATGGTTGTAAATGAAGAACACCCAAACTATTTAAAGGTTATCCCTCACAACTTGACATTTTCCTGTCTAGAATATGCTATGACTTTCAGGGCTCTGAAATAACAGGCAAATTAGAAGCACATTTAACACAATGTGTATAGGGGTCTTTTCTGCTCAGTGCTTCCTTTCGGTATAAATAGCCTTGGGGGGAAAATAGACCTGTCACTTTGCAAATCTCACGGGGATGAGCTGGACGACTTAATGTGAAGGCAGCACTTATGCGCAGGCAAGAAAGCCTCACAATTGCCCTGAGAGGATGCTTAGAGGGCTCACAGGGAGGAGCTGACAGTGGAGCCAGGGAAAGATGAGAGAAAACAGCACCAGTGAAGATTCATCAGCCACCCATCTTCATCCTAGCACCATGCTTAGGTTACCATAGTAACAGACCTTTAGGATGCCCTTAAGGCAATTTACAGAATTACTGTGCACATCGAAGAAAGGCAACACAAAGTGTTTGCTGTTAAACTATATTTTTAGTTACATTTACAACCTAAATGGTCCGTCAAGCCTTTTTAGATGTAAATTGTATTGGGCAGAGGGACATATTTTAATCAATAGTTCATAATTAATTTTAAGTAAAATACAGCTTATAAGTACTCCTAGTTTAAAAACACATGTATTATCTGCTTCGCCTTTTGGAATTTTGTCAGTTTCTTTTTGTCATTGTGATAAAACACCTTGACCAGTGACAACTTAAGGAAGAAAGAGTTTATTTGACCTTAAGAGTTTCAGGAGGAGACTTCATATTGACAAGGGAGGCATGGCAGCAGGCAACTGGAACAGGAAGCTGAGAGACCACTTCTTCATCCATGCACAGGAAGCAGAGAGAACAAACGAGAAGTAGGGTGAAGCCAGAAACTCTCAGAGCCCACCCCTGCAAGGAGCAGAATTCCTGAGTGACTGATGTCATTCAATCCTGAGTGTACTGGTGACACAGTCTCGGCCATGTCAGGGTCTAAGGCCTCAGACCCATGAGAATCGGCAAAGCCTCTCACCATATGGGTCAGGCTTCTTCCTCCCGTTCAAGCCCTGTATGTACAGAAGACTGAGCAGCGTGTAAACAAACAGCTAGCAACTGTGGCTTCTTCTTCCCGGATGCTCATTGTCCGAGATTGCTCACCTACAGACGACCTTCTACCAAGACCTGCTAACCTGTCTCCTGTGTGGAGCATAATAAACACACTGAGGATCTTGGTTGTGGAAGTAGGTGTGTCTTTTAGAACTCACATGACTCAACTTCTCAAGTGTGTCTAACGTTTCTTCATTACTTCACAGCCTCAGTCAGGTTTCCAAGATCCAAGCCACACTGTTTGCTAGCACTTAGTCAGTGATGTACTGCCTTAGGCAAGGTCCTAGCTTCTCAAGGTTCTAGCCTCCCAAACAGCGCCACCAACTGGAAACCAAGTGTTAAAATACGTGAACCTATAGGAAACATGTCTTATTCAAACCACCACAGGAGTCATTCGTCAGTTTTAACTAACTGTGCAGATATTTTGGAGGGACGCTGTTAAGACCTGGTCTTCTAATGATCAAAACCCAGTCAAACGTCAAATCAGATTTGGAGTTTTACCCTTCCTTGCTGACATAAAATGTGTATGTGTGTATGTGTGTGTGTGTGTGTGTGTGTGTGTGTGTAGACACTCTCTATATAAAGAGTCTATATAGGCACTCTACCACTGAGCTATGTCCCAGCC